TGGATGAATACACAATGAATGATAGACAAGAAGCAATATAATGTAATGGTTAAGAGCATTATCCTTGGGAGTCAGAAAAACCTGAGTTCAAATCCAGACTCCACCTCTTACAAGCTGTGTGATATTGGACAACTGACTTAACTCTTTAAGTTTCATGTCCCTATCTGTAAAACGGTGTTATGTTCCTAATTCATAGAGTTCTTATGTAACATATTTTTTTATATTTCTTGCATATAACACTGTGTCTAGTAATAAGTAACTATTACTGATAGTGCCATTATTGATCATAGTGAAAGTTATGAAAAATAATATAAATGTCATAACATGTATATTATCGCTTCTATTTATTTTTGCTATTAATTTTATTGTTATTTGTTGTGGTTATTGACAGAAATGCTGGAATGATTCACTGATGGTCAGTGCCAAATGATCCATTCAGACTATGTGAATGGGTACCACTCTGACCTGAAAACCTCAGGTTTTCAGTGTTCTTACTTTGGACCTAGCTGGTGGTAGGAGAGTTTGAACAGATATAACAGCATTGCTTTTAGTTCTGCAGCCTTAAAGAAACAAATCCCTGCTTCCACCAAAGAAAGCTTTAAAATGCTTCCCAGCACATCCAGAGTCTTTCAGACATCACCTACCCAGCCCATGGATCCAAGGAGATGAACCATAAACTTCAGTTAAGCAGTGGTTCTCGGATTTTAGCATCCACCCAAATAATTTAGAAAACATGTTTAAACACATTGTTGGCCTCAATTCCCAGAGTTGTGGATTCAGTAGGCCTGGGATAGAACCCCAAATTTCATTTCTAGTAAATTTGCACGTGATACTGATGATGGTAGCTCAGGGACCACACTTTGAGAACCACTGAGTTCACAGATAAGATTGAGGTGTAAGTAACCTGACTCCAAAGTGGGAATATGTGCAGAAATATTTTCACTAAAGTGAATTGCCTGATAAGCCCTGTCAAAATTTTTCAACCCCTGTATTTTCAACCCTGTACTACCCTTTTCTTACTTTATAAATGTGTTGGTAGGGGAAATGGTTTCATGAGCCTGATAAAAATCTATAGGCACTCTCTCCAAAAAAGCCCACACCCAAATACACAGAAGCATTGCTCATAATTTCAGCATGACCTGGAAACCTCCTGACCAGCCCACCCACTGACCCTCAGGAGTATCAGAAGGAAAACTGTGCTCTAAGGCAAAGTCTTGGGTTCACCTGGGTGTAACAAAAATTTTCGTCAGTTAACACATTTGTAAAATAGGATGATAATAATAGTTCTTACCTCAAAGTCTGTGAAGATTAACTAATGTAATACATGAGAAAGCCTAATTTGAAAACAAAAAACACTAAATATTACTTTTTCCTCTCTCTTAGTAGAAAGAAGAGTCTGAAGAGTAATATTTCAGGACCTTTTTTTTGCTAAAATCTGGTCATAAGCCATACTGTGGTTATTTCTGTGAGTCACTGAGCAATGAGGTCTAGAAAGCTTAGGCCTGGCTCTGTGACCAGAGAGTCTCAATTCATTTGCCCTGAAATATTCTACTTTTCAGATGTCCAATGCCTCATCATGTCCCTGTGTTTATGCCTCCTGACAGAAAGATGGAAATGTAAATTTCTAATACGGGTTCATTTCCAGGCTAGAAGACACTGAGTCTTTGGCAAAAGTGATTAAGGGTTAAGCCCGATTCGCATTGATTTTACCAAAATAAATAAATACATTGAAGGACCAATCAGCAGACATTTATTTAGCACCTACTGTGCAATGGGTGGCACAAGAAGCTAACACGTGCTCCTATGCTGTGCCAACTCACAATCCAGGAGGGAAGATAGATATAACACAATGATACAACAAGCACAAAGTGAGCTGTAGCAAGGGCAATAATTGTAGTTCAGACAGTGTTGCAGGAGCACAGGCAAGGGAGAAACCAGTTTTGATGGGATCTGTAAGTTTCTTGGGCAAGGTGGGATTTAACCTTGACCCTCAAAGAGAAGTGGACTGCTTTAGATGAATATGATGGAGAAGGGTACTCTAGGCTGTGGAAGTAATCTAAAGGAAAGTGTGGAGTTAGGAAAGTGCTTGGTATAAATTTGTATAATTATGATCTAGCCAGTCTGACTATAGTATGGGTTGGGGGTAGAGGTGTAGAATTTGAAGCTAAAAAGATAAGTTGAAACATATTGTGGGAAGGAAACCAAAGGCCAGTAGAGTAGCTTTGGCTCTGCTCTCCATGCAGTGGGGAAGGATGAAGGGTCCTTAAAAAGGGAGAAGCCAGACGCAGATCTGTTTTTATAAAGAGAGGATGCTGGTGTTACTGTGAGGAATAGATGACAGAAGGAAAAGAAAGCAAGACCTGGTAAAGGTAATAGGAGCCTGAACTAAATCCAAAGAAGTAAGAAAGGTCAAGAGGGGACACAGGGGAGTGGCATACTGAGAGGCTGGATTTTCATGTGTGGATGGTGGACAACGTAGCAAAGAAAGCAGAGCTGAGCTGAGAGGGCTCTCCTTGGCACATCCAAGCCCAGGCCAGGCTGCTATGTGAAAAAGACCAAGAGCTAAGAGGAAGAGACTGGCTAGGGGCCCAGAGGCCAGGTGGGGAGGCATACCTCTTGACCATCCCAAGGCTTTTCACCTCCCTAGAATACCCAAAAGGGTAGCGCTGGCCACTGGCTGCACCTGCATACAATATCAAAACCACTGATTCCCAGATGTAGGTCCTCAGCCTGGCCGCTTCAGAAGTCCTGAAGATGTTTTAAAATGACTTCCAGGCACTTTCCTAGATAATTCTGATCTGGGAACTGGAAGTAGGTCTGAGTTGGGGCCCAGACATCCCTATTTTGTAAAGCTCCTAGGTGATTCTGATGCATAGCTGGGTTTGGGAACTACTGTGGGACCTTCCAGCTGGGCTGGGAAATGTATGAAGTACACATGTTTAGCACATACTTGTGCTCATGAACATGATGAGGGCTTGAAGACCTTAGGTTCTGACCTCCAATGGTGTCTCAGGCTCAGTGACCTTCCCTGAGTGTCTTAGCTTTCCCTCCGTCTCCAGCTCTAACCCTTAGCAAACACATCAGGGGATAAGCTAGGCTGCCTTCCTCATAGGTCCCCTGAACTTCCCAAATGGACAACGTGCCCACAAGTCATCACGTTCACCCTTGTCCTCGACTGAAAGAGGAGAGCTTGGCTGTGTGCCAGCAATACCATGAGTCTTATTACAGGGTGTTTGGAGACCTAGAAAGCAGGCTCCAATAATAATACTCTCCATTTTCCATCAGGCTTGTACAACTTTCATAGCACTTTTACTGCTATTGTTTTTATTTCTCAGAAGAAATGACACAGCACAAAGGTAAAGTGGGGGCAGGTAAAAAGTCCCTTCCACACCCTGGGCTCTGTGAGATGTGGTCCCTAGTGTAGTGAGAGGTCAGACACCAGAGCTGGTCCTCAATCTGCCGTCCTCCCAAGCTCCAGTTCTGCTTCTGTGCCATGAGGGAGAATGGTAACATAAAGGCATTTTTCTCTCCTTGTAAAAGAGAAAAAATGAGGGGAGGAGGAATTATTTAAACACACCTCACTCATGCTGCAATCACTGCATTGTTTTTCCTGTTGAAACACCCTGTTGGTTTTTAAATCCCTTTAAACCCACCCGGCACCTGGATGGCCCAGATCCAAGAATTATTACCAAACCCTCACTTTTTATATTTAGCCACATAGGAGTTTCTGTGATGGTATCTGGCTCTTGCTTCAGTTGAAAATCTCAGAGCTTCCAGAAGTTTTCTTCTTTTGTAGAAGCTAGAAACATGCAATACTCAGAACTAATTTTTTTATTTTTGTTTAATTAAGCAGGATATGGTTCCTCCCTTTAGTTCTCCTGCTGGATAAAATAGTATCATGGCACTGCCCTGGATTGTTCCTCTGTGAATCCTTCTGAAATATTGACCAGAGAGAGGGCAGGGGAAGATGGGGGCGGGTATTGGGGTCTCCATCAGAAGCTTACGGTTTGTGAGATGACCTCTCTTCAGGGCAAGAACTGAGGCTGGAAACATAATGAGAACTTCCAGCAAATTCATTATAACAAAGCCTAATGTGAGCTCACTGGGCACAAAAATAGGCTGAAGGAAAGTGACTCCCACATAAGACCTAATTAAATACTTTGATGTCAGAAAGTAGAATAAGGAGGGGTGGAAAATCAAATCAGACCAAAGTGAAGGGCCTAAATTCAAATGGAAAGAAGACATATTTCCGTCTCACTCTCTCTCTCTGTCTCTGTGTCAGTCTGTCTGTCTCTGTCTCTTCTTTTCTTCCTTTGCCATGAAGGAAGAATAAGATGTAGGAACAATGGGCTGTAATTTCTTCAGCCAATTAGTCCGGTGACTTACTACTGTTCATAATGCACAGAATGTCACAGGCTGCTTTGCAGCCTCCCCAAGTCGGTTTGTTAATAACAGGAAGCTAGCACTTCTCAGTACAGTGGATCAGCTACACGTGAAAATAAATGCAAAAAACCTGGAGGGGAATAGCAGCAGACCGAGAGTAGCCTTGATTTAATTTAACATTTGGGGGTCCACACACAAATGAGCATTTTAGTAGGTTTCATGGTGGAAGTTGCTGTCATTTGTAAAATATTCTGGCCAATTAGCTAATAGTGTGCTTGGATTTCTCCTGTTTTGATACAGTAATACTAAGTACATTGTGAAGCCCAATTATACAAATCATCCCCATATGCCATACCAGTCTTTCTTTATGAACTGTGTTTATAAATCCTGTGTGAGGAAATGTGTACTTCAGCAATTTAGACCATGTGTAAAAACATAGCCAATGGGATTGTCAAGAAAACAAGTTCCAGCCTAGGAAATCCTAATGTGTTCCGCTGGAATAACAGGAGGGTGCCGGGGGTGCAGTGCTCTGCCTAAATACATAGTACTTTGGAGTGTTTAGCCGACTTAGGGGCTTCCGCTTCCCTCTCTATTATTTTATTCTTCTTTTCTTTTAGGATCCAACCTTGGAGTTTTTGAGAAAATTTGGGATTGGTCTTCTCTCCGGCACAATAGCCTCAGTCATTAACATCCCTTTTGATGTTGCCAAAAGTAGGATTCAAGGGCCTCAGCCAGTTCCTGGAGAGATCAAGTACAGAACCTGTTTTAAAACAATGGCAACAGTCTATCAGGAGGAAGGGTAACACCGTCTTCTTTTATTACATGTGCAAGACCCAAGCATGTCAAAGCCATACTGTACTTCCATGTTGATGAGAGCCACTAAGCCCTCCTAAATTGGGTGTGTGTCTGAGAAGCTCTAGGGAATAGATGTCACACTTCATGTGACAACACAATAGTGAGACGTTGGCAAAACATTCGCACACCGTCAGGAACCAAGAGCCACCATCACACAATATGTTGCATTTTGTCCTAGAATGCTAAAATGAATTTATTGCTTGTCAGTCTGCATAATATGCTTTTGTATAGAATTTACCCTATTAACACATGGGCAGGAGAATGTCTTCTAACTGTAAATCTCATCAAAATGTCACCTAATTATAGTCCCCTGGGAGAATTAAACATGAGAGTTCTATGAAAGTTGTTTTCATTTAAAAATTTAAAGTATGTGCCTTTTCCTGCTGTTTTTTTAAAGTCTTACTTTTGTCTCCTCATCCCTCCTCACCCAGGTCTTATTCTCAAGTAAACAAGTAATACTTCATTATTTTGATCTACACTGCATCATAGTTCCTTATGTGAAGACAGCTCTTTTAAATTCAATTACAAAAGTCATTTTGTCCATATACACAGCTGTCTTGAAAGTAAGACTTGCCTTGAAAGCAAAAACCATCTCGCTGATGAAAGTCGTATTTCTGATTGAACAAGATCAGCATAGCTTGGGGAATAAAGAATTGATTTAACTCTTTCCCCTCCTCCCGTTTGCCACAGAGAATACTTAGCCAGATACAGCCTGGTGCGGGATGTCATTTCAAATAAATTTTTTGTAAATGCTGGGTCATACTCTCAATAAAGCTGAGGTACAGGTCCATTTTATTTTCAGAAGAATGATGCTCTTTTCCTTCCGGTTACAGGATTTTAGCTTTGTACAAAGGTCTGCTTCCCAAAATTATGAGACTTGGACCAGGTAATGATGTTTTTATTACTTATATCCATCCATCTTTCTTGTTCTAGTTTCCCTTTTTTCCTTATCTGTGTCTATCAACAACATAGTTTATCACCCTGTGAAAGACAGAAGCTTTGAGGATGTAATGTTGGCTGTGACTATTAAGATACTGAAGACATCCATTAGAAATGTTCTACCTTTGTTTATAAAGCATTATTTATGGTCTTGCTGGAGGCTGACAGAAGCCAAAACCCAGCGTAGGTCAATAGGAAAGGATCCACAGCCAGTTGGAGTTTGAGTGAGCACTGAGGTGTATGTAACAGAGTGGCTTCTGGCAAAAGGGGAGGATTCTCACTGGGTGAGCCCAGTAAAATTTTTCCTGGTGCCCCTAGTTCATTCTTGCTCCTGCCTCAACTTCATTTCAGCAAGAGCAAAGGAGGACAGCTGGCCTCCAAGAACAGCAAGGGCCACCCATCTTCACAGTCACCTCCGGAGACTGGCAAAGCTGCAGGTAGCACTCACTTCCCCGGCCTCTGTCAGTATGGTGGTGGAGGCTCCTGGCTCAGGGCCTTACCTCAGGACGCCAGCTCACAAAAACCAGCTGCCATTCCCACAGGGAGAGTCAGCTGCCTCTATGTAAATAGATAAGAAAGTAACTGCTGCAGAATCAACCACCTGGGCAAATAGTCTTGGAGAATAAGCAACCTTGTGAATAAGTGCAGAAGTATGCACCAGACTACACATACTTTTCACCAGGCCACACTCACCTACTTAGACATCCTGGTAATCTTCCTCAGAACCTTCCCTCCTCCTCTCCTCTCTCTCCTTCCCATTCCTCCCTTTTAACAGCAATGTCCTTCTCCCCTACCACACTCACACACATGCACATTTACCTTTAGATCTCAACCCAGTGCACCAGCGTTTCTACCAGCCTGAGATAGGGAAAAACTGTCTGTAAGTGAAGCTGGTGAACAGTTCACACTTCCAAGTATTTAGAAAACACTGCCACAATTCCCAGTCCCTCTATCCCAACCTTTCTAGGCTTAAGTATGGATTTTGCTTCATCTGTGAGATTCAGACCTGCCTTCTATTAGTCATTGGCCCGTGTGTAAAAACAAACTTAAGAATAAGGAATATTGATGATTTTGTGCAACTCTCTCAGCAAATAGGTGGTGTTTTCCCTTCACCACATGGTAAGAACCTGCTAGCAGACCTAGTATTAAAGAAAATCACAGGACTGACCCCAATCCAACCTCCTCAGGATGGAATGGGCCTGAAAAGGGTGGTGACTGGGGAGAGTTTAGCTAAAACAGTAATTGACTAGAACGTTAATCCAAAACTCTTAAATAATCTGACCCCACATTTTGTTAGAGGCTTGCAAATGTTTAGCTGGCTTTTTAAATGTTTTTGTATGAGGTGTTCAATACAATGGAAAGGGTTGTTGTGAACATACCATCCAAGCTAAACAAAACTGTGAATAACTGGAAATCTTATTCAAGGACCTAGTCTCCACTCTCATTCCAAACATGCAAGTCCTAGCAACTTCAAAGGAAAGAAAGGCCAAGAGAAGGTATGACTTTTGAGTTAAGGATAAGCTTTATTTAAAAGAGAGAGAGACAGAAAGACAGAGAGACAGAAACAGTAAAAAAGAAAAGGAAGGTGAACCTGGAATTTTCAGCCTTGCTGTGACAGGAAAGTATATTATCTTATTTTTATAACCCTAGCAGCTGTATGTGGCTAATGATCAGGTACCTCCCATGTAAGGTTTAAACTCCAAATATCACTAGGCTGAAAACTAACCCAATTCTGCATGTTTTTGTCTTACACTGTGAACAGCTGAAAAGAGTAAACACAACAATTACACACATATTAACAACCCTCTATAGTGTGTCCCTCTTTGTTTTCCAGAGCACCAAGAAGGCTATAGAAGCTGAGAGGGGTATAATAGAGTATCTTCATGGGTTAAAAATGAAAATTACAGGCACATAATTATCTTTGGCATAAGGTTACACAAACATATGCAGCCTGTAGATTAAAAAAAAAAAACACATGGCAGTGTGTACAAAATAAGTGAAATCAAAATCAAGTTCAATTTCTTTCCATCAGAAGTCAATCTTCTGTTCATGCAGCCAAGTCTTTTCTAAGCTGTGCTCAAGGTATTTGTCCACATTTTGATTTTATAATCTTTTTCACACAGACATGAGGGGATAAATAGAGATTATCTTGAAGGGCATGGGACATAGGCTATTTACCATATCAGACAGAACACAAAATCCACCACATACAGATGCTTCTCCTGATGTGTAGGTGTTCAGCAGCATCGGCATCTATTTTTCTGTACCATATTCCTGTTGGCATAGTACATAGCAAGCCTCTGCAGCCAGATGTATAACTCTTCTCTTCCAAGACAAATGGTGGTCTTATGATACCTAGTTCCCACTGCCACATTTTCAAATGCAATCCATTTATATCTGAGGTGGATCAAATGAATGAAAACAAAAGGATCTTGAAAGCCAGCTAAGTTCTGCAATACAGATTTTTTAAATATCGAGCAACTATTTTTCACATTGCAATCCAGTTTGAAAGCTCTACGAGAAAACCAGACTCATCTGTCAAGCACCATCTTAGAGATTTCCTTTCGTGAACACAATGACAACAATGATAACTGTCAACTGAGAAAGATAAAATCCTTTTCCTGCATAGGAAGAATCTAAAGGTTCTGTTCGCAGGAAAGCCACATGCCCTTAGATGACCAAATGTGTCTATATTTATTTACTTTTAAAAATTAGGAGTGCCTGAAAAACAATCTGATGAGAATGGTGAAAGTTAACCGAAACTCATGGGGGAAAAAAAATGTATCTGGAGACTCAAGGTGGTCTTGGTTTTGCTCTGAGAATTTTCCACAATAGTTTAACATCTCTGTATTGGAGCTCGAGAACCGATGATCCCCGACAGCCTCTGCCCAACAGCTGCATGGGGCTTCGTGGATTCAGAAACCCAGTGGGAAAGATGACAATGTTGCACTGAATTCCAGATTTAAAAAAACAGCTCTTTTCTTTTCTAGGTGGGGCAGTGATGCTACTGGTTTATGAATACACCTACTCATGGCTTCAGGAGAACTGGTGATTGCCTATGAAGTGTTTTCCCCCTTTGAGATAACGGATATTTGCTATACAGCATCATGAAGAGAGATTATCAATTAGTGAAGCTGGTGCATTTATAAATTAAGTTATATACAAATGTAAAGAGGAAAATAGTTCAAGAACAAAACCTACTTTGATACTTCAGAAATTATCCCTACACAACTTGCAACTATAGTTTTGGCCATATCCATAAAACTGTGAAAGAAAAAATTAATATGAAGCAATGAGGTATAGAGACTGAATATACAAAAATAGCCTAGAAATCAGATGTATTTCATAAAATAAAAAGCAACAAATATTTTTAAACTTATATTCTTCTGATCCTGCTTCACCATGAAATTTCATTGTATTGATAATTATTTTTACCCAAGAGTCCAAGAAATGCTTAAAGTACAAAAAAAAGTTAAGCCAAAATTTAAAGTTTTTATAAGGAATTAAATTCTCCCATAAGAAATTTTAAAAGCACAAGGAAATGTTTTTAAAGTGCACTAAAATGGCTTCTTAAAAATGTTGAATTTTATGTTAAAATTTAAATCTCTTGGCTTTCTTTAGTAATAATACACATCTCAGCTGTATTTTCCTAAATCTACTTTATATTTTGCACTGTTGTTTAAAGCAACTCAGATTTTTAAATCATGATATTTGAAGTCTTTTATGACAGATAGAAAACATGAAATTATAATTAACTACTTTCCTTCAGAAAGTTCCCTTTGAAAACAAGTTTTGTGGCTGAAATGTTCCCTTGTTATATCACAAACTGGAGCCACCCCGTGGGCCCATTTGTGTTGACTGTATTTGCATCCAGATATCTTTGTTTAGAACTCTTATCTATGCCATTCTTAAACAGAATGTTTAGTTTTAAGTGACAGCGTCAGGAGTGAAGTCTTCTATCTACAGTGGTAAAATGTATTATGAAGGGAAAAATATTTCAAAATAAAAGTACATTCTTAGCATTTCCAAAGATTCCTGTACTAACATGCACTCCAAATAATATCTCCTTAGCCTTCATATAACCAACTTGATTTTACATCTGCATCCTGAAATTATGTTACTTCAGTAGTGAAAGTCAATAAAAATACCTGCATATTCTAGATGATACCTGTCCTTAACTACTACTATGGAATATTTCTACTATGAGGCTATGTCACTGGAACATTTTGAAAACAAAAAATAAAAGATAACATGGTAATTATTATTTTTTATTAATTTAGAGCATTTGAAGTATAAAAATAAAGGCTTTTTGACATACTGTATATATATATATACACAGCCTTCAGTTGTACATCCTTTCCAACATGTTTTTTAATTTATATTTCAGCCCAATATCAATAAGAGGGTCATTAAAAGAAGGGAAAAGAAACAAGAGAAATAAGAATGTGTCCATTGTACAACTGCATTCTATCCTTGCAGGTAATACTACTGCATCGCGGGAGTGAGCACGGCCTGCAAAGAGCCCATGAAATTGAACCTTTAACCTCTCCCTGTGGATGGTGTGGAAACAGATCTCTGAAGAGTGCACTAGCCAATTTAAAAACAACGCTTTTACCCCCCTAAGAAACAGAGGAAATATGTCAACACTAACCCATAATAATAATGTTTAAAAATCAAACAATCCTAAGCCCATGTCCCATCCCACTTTCCTTCTCTTAGTTTTAGAAGTAGCTCTAAATCATAATTTGCTTTGAGTAGCAAATTGTATTTGGGCTTTCTGTTGTCTTTTTAAAGGTATTCTATGTGAATTCGCTATTACTAGGGAAACAGGTAGGGAGAAAAAAGAGGAGGAAAAACTTCTGATACCATTAACATTAGATTTTTTAAAACACAAGAACCAGAAAAAAATTATAAATAGTATAGCAAGAGATTTCTTAATTTAGATAAAGAAAATAACATTTAGTTGTGTTTCCATTACAAATGATTGATCTCTTTTTAAAGACTCCGAATAGCCACCTAAAAATATCTGTTGAGGAATAATTCCGTACCTTATGTCAGTTTTTCTGGAAGGCAGGAGAGTCCCTGTACCGTACGGTTTTAAAGTCTCCACCAAAATATTGGACTGGTATCTTTGTTCCATTCGATTTATAGTCTATTTTTTCACCGGACTGGGAACTCCAGATGTCAATAGGAGTTTCACAAGATCAAAGGAAGACTATGGCCCTGAGAATTCATCTGCTCCTTCTGCTTATTCTTCTCCTGAAGTTATAATCCTCTGTTTGTAGCACTGAATTTCGGTTCCTTTAGAAATAAATGCAGTTCAAAGCTCTTTATAAGATATCTGCTGCTTGAAAAAAGCAGTTCCACGAACATAACTTGTGTGTCAGAAATCTGCTTACTGTTTATATCCTAGTGATCTGAGAACCTAGGTAATCTAGCCATCTGAATTTTAAATGAAACTCATGTGACGGAACCTGATTGCGATGTAGGCTGTGCACAGCACAGATAGGAGGAAATCAAAATCATCTAATGAACGCGTCGGTAACATCCATATCTAGTGATGTGCCCTTTGAGTTATTGCACAGAATTAATACCAAAACCCTACAATATATTAATTTTCCAATAGGTGAACTGTACCAATGTCTTACAGGCCTATATTGCCAAGGAGGAAAATCTTTCTAAACAGAAGAGATTAAAAGCTGTAGAATTTTGCCCAAGAAAATCAAATGTTTTAAAATGCAACACAAAATCACATGCTCACACAAATATCTACCCGCTACCCTCACAGCTCTGTGATTAGCATTAAAGTGTAAAACAAATTGGTCTAGAAAGATTTATCAGTTAAACTGTCTCCTGTAACCCCAGAAATGAATAAAGGGAATTTTTAAAAAATTAAATAGCGTTTGTATTTCTAATACCACCACCAGTTTACCTATACATGAAACATGCTTCTGTACAACAATGTAAACTTCACAGCGAGCCATTTTTACATTCATTTAGAGAATTTTCCATTTTCTTTAAGTTACAACATAATTTTGGGCTGAGATTGCTGAACACACAGGTAAGCCAACAATAACAGTACAATTTAGTTTCACAGTGGTTTTCTTAACATAAAGTTCATTTTAAGTGTCTTTGCAAAGCATTTCACATTAAACTTAAGTTTCTAAGTGACTTCCTTCAGAGCTTTCTTGTTCAGGTATTTTCCACCCTCTTGTCTTTATATGCTTGGCATGTGTGTTGTTTGATTGGGATACAAAATGGGAGGCTGGCTTGTTTTATGTTTTTTGAGTCCTCTGCTGTAGAAGATGTCCTTCATAAGATGTTGAAGCCTTCACTGCACACACAAAATCTGGGGCAAGTCCAGGTCCCGGAGCCTGAGCCGCCCACCACCAAACAGAGACAAAGACATTGCCAGAAAGTCACCTTGCAAAAAGAAAGAAAAAAATAGATAGGGGTGGGAAGAAAGGGATAGCCCATGGAATGAAAACACAAATGCACCAGCCAGAGTCCATATTTACAAACCAATAGAAAATATAAACATTGCTGTATTTGGAACCATGTCAAAACACCAGGAGGAGCTAAATTCAGATACCGCGTGTGTTACACATATATTTTCCAACAAAATAGGTCATCTCTTAAAAATAAAGGATCATCATGTCAATTATTGATTGGTGTCCTAATGATGAATTAAGGCTTATTTGGTCATCTTATTTGATTAGAGGGTGTAGTATAACTTTTTTCTCTATGTATTTTCCTTTATTGATTTTGCAAAATCTCAACAATTGCACATTTCAAAAGTTCAGGTTGATTTAGAATAAATATACACATGTGGTTTTACCAAAGACTAGTTTTAAAAGTTCCTTAAGCCCTTTGAGGGGTGCAGGTTTCTTTGCTATGTTAAAACAGTGTGTGGGCAACACAAATGTCTCATTCAATCCTTAACATCGTTTTGTTTTTAAATCCTAAAGTCATGTCAGGTTTTCTGTGAAAGAGAAGTTATGGCAAGAAATATTTAAGTGTCATCTGCACAAAGGATGTGAGTCCATAAAGCCAGCTTTCAAGGCAGGAGGGTTGGCGGGCAGGAGGGGTGGGATCCGAGACCAGGGAAGGAGGGGGCGGGGGTGAAGCTGCTGCGGACAGAATTTCCCATCAGAGTGCGGAGGCCGTGACAGAGTGACTACCTTCTCTGGCTGCCTGCATTCCCTTGAATGCCAGCGACGCGGGAATGTCACAGTTGTGGGGGGACAGTGGGGTCCCACTGGCATGTTGCCACCCATGTCCAGCAACATAGCCAGAAGGAGCTGCGCTGTAGGTCATGTAAGGCGACACTTGGGCCGGGGTAGGGTAAGGAGCCATGCTGGATGCTGACACGAAACTGCTTACAGCTGGGAGACCATTTGGTGCCTAAGAGGAATAGGAAAGGAGAAGAGCTGAAAATAATCACATTATAGGAGCTGACATTTCTTAGAAGCTTCATAATGTGAGTTCTGACTAGTAGTGACTCACAATATTGACTCTATTTTCTGATTTTTTAAAGACCTGACCTTAATTACATTCCAAATGCATTCAGCCTTGCTCCTTAAACAAACAACACCAAAGGACACAACACTATTCTTCCCACAAAAGTTTTGAGGAGGCTACAAGCAGAAAAATTCACAGTATTTACTTTTGTTGTTTGGAATTACATATAGGAAGGAAATGCAAGGTGAGGAAATTAAATACTCTCAGATTCTGTTTAGCTATCCATAAGCCTTTGTCAGCCTTCCCTGTACCTCCGTTTTGTTTGGCTCTTGTTGAGGCATTTGGGACGGACCTGGCTGGTGTAGCTTTCCTTTCCAGTAAAGAAGGGCACAGAGTGTGGGCTGTCACTTAGAAACTCAAAATGAGCACGACCTTTGTTAAGTAAAATATGGGCTGCGTTTTAAAATGTCAAGTTGAAATGCACAAAGGACATGCAAAATCAGGCAGTTTGTCTTATAAGGATTTTTAAATGAAAATTGGGGGTATTTTTTTCCAGAGCTATTTTATCAAAAAGGAAACAATCACAATATACAGAACTGCATATGGGTGGTTTTGAAATTGGGAAATTTGCTCGCAAAGTTTGGGGACCCTGTGATGTGAACTTTTAAAAGCCACATGAATTTAAATGTAAAATCTTAGTTTGCAAACAAAATGCAAGCAGCTCTGGCAGGCAAGTCTGCCCCAAAACCAGTGTTCTTGCAGCATCCAATAAATTGTTGTTCTTATCATTACTATTAATAATACCCAAAACACCCTAATTTGTAATCCTGATTCTGGCATGAACACCCGTCATCTTTCTTCAAGTAACTTAATTTTTCCCCTCAACTTCTACATGATTTAGAAATAAAGAGTAAGTCCTGTTTCCTGATAGTGATGTGAATGAATTAACATATCAACATATATCCTAGTGAAAGTATAATGTAAAAACTAGAATTAGTAGTAGTAAAACCAACTTAATCCGTAGAGGTAAGAACAGCAGCATTTGTTAATTAGATACTTTTTCCAATTCAGTAGCAACCTGGAAATTGTTTTCTAATTTAATTCATTTGGTTATTATTTTTACCTCCACATTTATGAGAATACAATGGTGGGATCCCAACAACAAATTTCTCAGTTTAGAGAAATACGGAAAGTAGAATATACATTGGTATGATTTAACACAGCTCATGGATTTCTGAAAAAATAGGAATAAAGTAATGGGATTAACTTTGTGTCCTTGATATGTAAGAACATACAAACATACACCTTGTGTTCTGTTTATCAAAGTGCCTGTTCTTTGAAAAATGGGGAAAAGGGAAGGAAACAGATTTCTTGAGTGTGTCCTATGTCCCAGGTGCCAAGAAATAGCCAATGTATTTTATGGAATAATGATGACTGATGAATTGTAGCTCATTACAAGCTAGGGCTCATAATAATTACAATATATAATGAGTACAACACAATGTTCAACTGAAATTAAAATGTAGTACCAGAGTACCAAAAGGTGATCCTGCATTTATTTAATGAAGAAACCATTGCATATCGGTATTAAATATAAAGGATATCTTATCTCTTTTTTATATGCAATAATGTAGATTAAATAATGTAGATTACCCTATGTCAATTGGCAAGTCAATGGCTAGGTGTTAAAAGAAGTTATCACCCCTTTCTGACAAAGGGTCCTCTGTAGCAAATCTTTTAATTGCCCTAGACAATTAAAAGATGGACACAATTCAAACTAGAGCATCTTTTGAGATAACATCTGATAGAAGATTCTTTCTTCTGCTAGAACCCTGTTCTCATTGTTAGATCCTCATTCAGTTTCCTAACTTCTAAAAAAAAAAGAAATTCCCCCCTTTTCTGAGAATGGTTCAGAAGATACACACATTAAGGCTCTCAGCAAATGAGTATGAAAATTGCTATCAAATTGCAGAAGAAATTTAGCGTTGCATAGAGATTATAATTATGATCATGTTTATTTAGGATTTTCCCAATAACCTATAAAAAATTAGTTTTGGAAGGAATTGTTCCAATTCAGTTATGGAAAGGTGTCCTCATCTGTATTTGGCCTCTTCTTTTCTAGGTAAATTAATATTTTATACTATTGATGCTAATGTGCACCAAGAATCATAAAAGAAGAATGTTAAGAATAAAATGTTAAGGTTAAAATTACTTTAAAAATAATGAAAACCTTTGCTCATTTCACAGGTACATAAGGTTAGAATATTCAATATTATACATGACAGGAAAAATGTTCTAGTTATCAGAAAGAATGTATGGCTGAATTCTATTTTTTATCCCAGCTAAGTTTTTCCTGCCCATTCTTTTTTCTCTGTATTTTTTTCTATCATCCAAAATTACAGTTCCCTCTGAAATACTTGCTTTATCCTTTCCCTTCACCCCCTTGCCCTTGGAACCATTGCTTCCTCATGTGCCCCCTTTATCTGGGACTCTTCAGCTATTCTGTTGCAATGTCTGCAATCCCCTCACATGGACCCACTTCTTTTCTGCCCAGAAACGTCCTCCCTGAGAAACCAAGCCAGACTGGTCTCTCATCTTAGATAATGCTCCTGGGATTTAGAGGGAGGCAGACATTGGATTTAGGCCTGTGTTGCCTTCAAGAGCCTTACTTATTCCATCACTACATGTATTTATTAGGTGTGAAAACCACACTAGTATTTTTTCCCCGCATTTGTCCAATATCTCATATTTAAGGCACTATACTTGCTTATATGGTATTAATACTATTAGTTTTAGATGTTTCAAAGTTTTCTAAAATCCACAATATATGTATAGAGTCGCATTAGTGCTGTTGTCCCCTCTGTATTGCAGAAAGGAAGGAGAGGAAGGGAAGCTCAGAGAGGTTTGCTTGGTCGTTTCATCTTGCAGGAAGACGCGAGGGGAGGATAAGGTGCTTGCTTAAAAAAAACAAAACCTTTAAATAGTATAACAATAGCTCTTAGCTTAACCTCGGGTTAAATTATGACCTAGAGTTTGGGTGAAAAAATTTGTCTTAATTTCCCTTTTTTACTTTTAAAGTTCAGATTTAGAAATTTTTAATAAGTGGTATAAGCAAGATGAGAGACTAAACATGTTTTAAAATTACCTGCCACCTTTACTATTCATTCATTCTAGTGACTCAGTAAGCACATCAATTTTCTCACTATTAATTCTGAAACATGATGTTGGTAAAAGACATAAATCTCCACTGGGTAAAGTAATTGTTATTTATGAAGCAGTCACCAAAGGAGTAGAATTTTCCACCGCAAAGGAAAACAACTACAAGTAGCATTAGTGTTTGTTTATTCTTTCCAGTAAAAAAGTATATGACTTGAACTTCCCAAATCTGTTTAATGTTTTCAGTGAAGGGCATGTAATTAATCTGAAAAGCTAGTTAGGCTGAGTAGAGACTACCAAATGTACACCATAAATATGGTTGGGCAAACATGCTAAATTGCTCTATTTAATTGGATTGTAAATATGATTTATAAATCAACCAACATATGGAATCCCCAGAGAAGAGTAAACAAATTTTCCAAATGAAACCCTAGCAATGGGCATGTAATGGAAATCTCATTTTTGAAAATGACTTTACCTAAAGATTCCATAAATAAGACCTCAATCAATCAACCCTGTTTTTGTGTGAATCTTCCATGAAAGCCATGAGAATCCTTTACTCCAAAGAACTTTACAAGGGTCCTCCCTGAGGCAAACTATTGTCTGTCTAATTTTGAGGATGAGATTTGCTAATACAAAGTAAAATAGACCAAAATGCATACCCTGGATAAAGTAAGTTACTTATTTTGTTGGATATTTTTAGAAAAAGAAAGCTTTTATCCTCCGACATTAAAGGAAATTGACCCAAAAAAATAGATAACCTGTAACATAGTCTAGCTAAGGTTATCACAAGAATAAATGAAATCATGTATTTTTATTTTACTTGTTCTAAAATGTTAGATATACAGATTTGCGAGTTTTTTTAAATTCGGGTTTTAAATGAGTATGTTGAAAAGTTGTATTGGCAGAGAGCAAGATTATAAACAGTCTGAGGACAGGAACTTGCCTTAATCATTTCATAGCCCCACAGAAGAGGGCACATCATGGGCATTTCATAATTATATGTATGCTTAAGTTAATGCAGGCTTTTGAAAGCAAAAGATGTGATAACTCTTGCTTAAAAAAGACACACAACTCAGCACCCTTAATCACTGAACAAGCATTACCCTTTAGGTAAGCAAATGTATAAAGCTGTTGAAAAAAGTAATTGAAAAGTATAACCTAGCTAGCCATTTCATTATTTGGTTTATGGTCATTACATTTATTCTCCAACCCAACCCCCAAGAAAATGGAAATGCATTAGTACCTAAATGCTTGTGACCAAGAAATAATTTAGTATGATAAATATCTGATAGTTAGAGGTTGTAAACTAGTTCACAAATTCTGGAAATTGTCTTCTCAACATTCTCTCTCTTGGAGAAAATGCAAGTAACAGTGCCAGGTCCTCTACCCACAACCTTTCATCCTCTCATCAATTCTACCTGGTCCTCCTCTTATGGTAAAATGAGTTTACCTTGGCTTTATAATAAAGTAGATTTAGCCCCAAATAGAGAAGTACTTCACCTAGAATTTCATTCTCAGTATCATAACCAAGAAACAAGAATTTCTCTCTCTTTTTTTTTTTTTTGGTAAAATAACTTTTCTGTCATTCTACCCTTTTAATTCATTCTGCAATGAACTAGTAAAACAAATCTGATAAAATGACAGTTGTAAATATGGTTTCAACATTCATCCAAAAGGATCTTAATTTTGTTTAGTTATGTTGCAGATCTAAATGTGTCTAGGTAATGGTTAGCTGCTATTTAAATTTTTTTCTAAATTTTATTTTTCCAAAAACATAATGATTATTTATAATCATTAATTTTGTTTTAAGACACTAATAATTAAATGTCGACCAGATCAAAGAATGTTTTTCATAATAAATAACATGATGAATTTCAAGAACTCTCTATTAGTATTTGCCTACAACTGCTTTCTCTACAAAATTATAAATTACTTAACACAGAATTAACTTTATTTGATATGACAAAAAATCCAGTGCAGTTTCACTTATAGTTTCATGAGAACAGTATGTCTGCAAGGACAGCCAGTATTTAAAATAATGCACTAGAAAATTACATTCAGGATTCTGAAACACTTCATTTCAAATACAGTATATCAATGAATGCTTCATAAGAATTTCAGATTAATTTATGTCCCCAAATTCAACCATTTTCACTACTTGTTTAACTGAGCTTTTTCTTAAATTCAAGCATTTATAGACTATTCTCCATTTCTGACATCTAAATTTGTAGCTAATGTTATATTAAACTTGCTGTCTGAGTTAACATACACTACCCAAAAATGAAGATACTCAAAGCTTATAAATCTACTTTTCAGATTACCCTAGGGAACCATATATGCAAGTTTTTTTTCTGTGAAAGTATGCCTAATTGCAAAAAAGTTTTCAAAAATCGCACAACTATTTATAAATTCTTTAAATAAACTGAAGCATTAATTCACTACGTACAATGTAAAGGGTAGATATATTCCAACCTCATGTTCCTCCATGGGGTTTTTTGCCATGCAATTGCATTCAGTCAAGGATTTATGCTTTCAACAGAAGAGAACCACTCATTAGGATCCAGAGAACATTGTTGCCATCAGAATTAGATGAGAGTAAAGATTTTTAGCCCTATATTAAATGTAGGTGAAAAAAGCCAAAATAAATATGTACTCTTTTTCTTCTTTCCCAAGAGGTAGACAATAGGACTTCTGCATGGCACTATAAAATATCCTTGGCAGTGTAATATTTATGTGTAAGACAAGTTTGAATATTCTAAACTGGCATTTTAAAAACAAAAGATAGGTGTGTGTATAGCTGAAATGTGCATAAGGTTCTAATTACTAGCGTTCAGGCATCTTTCTTTGCAGTTTAAGCTGAAAATAGAAACTCTAGTTTACGGTAATCAATAGTACCTACAATCAATTATCAATTCAGCCCTTTGGTAATTTTACAGATGTCTTCTGGAAAAAGATAATGCTTGAAATCCTATGATTCTGAATTCTCAACTTCCTCCTTTGTGTACTAAAATGAAGCTGAGATCATATAATATTGAACTATTTATAAGCATAAATGCCCTAAAAGTATAATATGCAAGAAAAATTTGACATTTTTTTTGCCAAACACTTTATAATTTTGTTCATAATAACTTCCCTTTGAATATTGGTAAGAGAAATGTATATTTACACACACACACACACAACACACCTTACCTTTGTATGTTTATGAGCAAGTATTTAAATTTTTAATATAACTCGCAAAATGGCACAGCCTAAGTTTATGTGCCTAATTAGCACACCTTCATCGTTAAGCCCTATTCTGATAATTATAATAGAATAACCACTGATTTAATTGTGCTTAGAAACTTGAAGTTTCGAAAATTTACATCATTTTAGTTATCTTACTATATGGCAATGTAGAAGGTTAACACATTGCAATTAAGAACTTTGCAAATTTAAGTTTAATATATTTTTTGGTTCTAGAAAAATATTTAACTTGTTCTCTTGAGTATATAGAACAATACTTATCCAGCCACTTATTTCTTTAATTTGCTTGCTTTTATAAATCTGACAATTTGGTAATTAAATATTTAGTGTATAAAGTGTATATATTTTAATGTTCAGAATATATAGAGTAAATTATTTGAAACTGCTCTATTTTTATTTTAAATTGATCGGTTTAGTTTTGAAGTGTTGGTATAAATTAAGTACTTCTAAACAAGTTCAAATGCTAGACCTATAATTCAAGAAAGTAAAAATTAAAATAATCAAAGATTTTTTATTATGATGCTGCTTTATATATAAACTGTGTTCATCACCTATATGTGGGAATTAGAAACTATTTTTCAACTCTATACTTCATGATGTTATTCCAAGAAATGATGACAATAGAAATTACTGAGCACCTATTGAATTCTTGCTACTATGCTAGGTGCTTTGTATATACTCCCTCTTGTTTGTAACAAAACGCCTTGAAAATTTTTGACTATGAGCTCCCTAAATAAAGTATATCCTCACAAACACACACACACGTTGTTTTTAAAAGTCAATCTCTAACTGCCATTTATAACCACAGGTAAAATTCAATGAATGCTTACTATGTGCCATATGGTTGCATTAACTCATTGAATCTTTCAACCAACATCTCTTGAGGTTAGGACTATTATTTTGCTGTTTTACAGATGAAGAAATGGAGGCTCTAGAAAGTTAAATAACTTGATTAAATGGTGGTGGTACCAGAAGATAGGGGTTCCTAACTATTGTACATAATGCTTCTTCTTTACAAATTAGGGCCCTTTTTATAAAAGAAAATGACAGCCTTTCTTATAATTGCTCATTGGCATTCTTTACCGTAGATACCAATTCAGGAAAGGGCCTCTTTCCTTGCTATTTTCTGTGACATTTTCTTGAGAATGTTACTAATGTGTATCTGACTCTGTTTCAACAAAATAATGGAAAGAAGAGGAAGTGGAAATGGTGTTCGTTAGAGAAAATATCGATTAGGATTTTTTCCCAAGTAAATAAAAGTAATTTCACCTAAAAAGCTGATTTGAACCGATAAAACTTTAGAAGGTTTAATAATTCAAAATAATAAAACGGAAACTGTATATTTTGAGGCTTTGAAATTGGAGTTTCGTAAGAAACAATCAGCAAACTCACCCAGGTGTACTCTAAGAAACTTCCATTCGTTTAAGGTCCAGTTTTGTTTTGTTTTGTTTTTGCATTTTGTTTTGGTTTTTGAGAGCTTTGGACTCCTGACTCCAGCGTGATGATGAATTTAGACTCAAAACTCGTGGCCTTTTTTATTGCTGTAATTGCTTATTTTTTCTCAGGAAAAAGCAAAACAAAGCAAAACACGGGTGTTTTTAAATTTTCTTTCGGAGAGTCGGGGGAGGGACAGAGAGAAAGAAAAACGGTGCACCGCCAGTCCGTATAATTTGAGGTTTTCTCACTAACCTCCGGGGAGATTACGACGTGACCTTTCATCGGGGAATGGTAACTTTATTAAGTTTATCTGGTTGCCTTCTTCTGATTACCGCAGGACAAGTCACACTTGCTCATTTTCGGGGAGCCACGTTCGGCAAATTCCGAGCGTGATAACTCTGCAGCCCGCCGGCCTCCAGGGCCGCACCCTCGGGCGTGCGCTTTGCGGACGTGGAAGCCGCTCGCGCAGCGCTGCTCCGGGAACCCCAGGCCGCTGCCCGGCCTCTCCGCTCCCGAAGCCCTGCCTTGGGTAGCTCTAGTCCCCGCGGCGCAGCGCAAAGGTTTCAGGCGCGGCCTCTCCGCCCCTCCAGGGGCCAGCCAGCCTGGAGGCGCTATCAGGGCCGCGGCTCCGGGAGCCGTCGCCCCTGGCCCGGGTTCCCTGGCGAGGGGTCGCCGCCTCCACCCCTCCCCCGTCAACCGAGATCTGGCGAGCGGCGGCGACGCGTAGCCCTGCCCCTTGGTGGAAGCTCAGAAAGGGACTCGTGTCCTCATCGCCCAAACCCCCGCTGCCCTGCGGCCCACCCGACGGGGCCCTCACCTCCTCACCTGACCGTACTTGGCTTCTTGCTCCAGGGCTCCCTTCTCCAGCCCATTCACCGCGTGCGGGCCGGCGGCAGGGAAGTTGTTGCGGCCCAGGCTGCTCCACTCCTCCACCTTGGGGCTGTGGTAGGGGGAGCTCTCGCTCACTCCTGGGGAGAAGAAGACCCGCTGGAGGTCCAACCCGAGCGTCCCCTCCTGAGACACGACCCGAACGCGCGACTTGTGAGCACAAGGGCTCCGACCTCATCGGCCCCCTGCCCTCAGCCTCCCGGGGCGCCGGGCCCAGGCACGGCCTTTCCGGCTTCCAGCCCAGGCCCCGGGTGAAGTTTACTCGCCCCAGAGTAGGCCTCTCTCAGCTCTCTTACCCACGCCTGCGGGAAGGTTTTTATTTTTTATTTTTCTTTTTCAGCCTGTATTTGATTTCTCCCCTCCTCGCTCCCCCAAGGGAAACGAGTGGAAGGAACCTGAGAGTTTTCCCAAATCGAGGAAAGAACCCGTTAAGTTGGATGCCCTGTTCTTCCCAATCCTGACCCAGGGTCGTCTGGGAGTTGACAAAAATCCTGCATTGGTGAGGACTGAAAAGGGAGAGGGGAGCTTCCTGGCCTAATGGAGCCTGTGCTGGTGCTCAAAGACATCCAGTTAAGTGTTCACTGCACTGTGGAGACCTAGTACTTCTGTCAATAGATGGAGCAAAAGACCTGCAAAAGTCCTTTGCAAACAAGTAACTAAATGATCACCGCACACATGCAAAATGTACATGCATAGGTTTCTGCCTTGTGTGTTCATAATTTAATGTGTGACTACCCTTAATGCTCTATGTCTACATGTTAAATATGTGAGGTTTTATGCATGACTCAAAAAATAAATATGACAATTACCACTGTAAATACCTCTAGTGTTGGTAGTGATGTATACAGAGATGGGGGGTTTTTTTAGTGAAATAAAAAGATTAAGAAAATGAAAGTAGAATTAAGTGTGCTAAAAAAAGGTGTAAAGCCATAGTTACCTTTATGTTCTTAATGGAGTTGCAAAGAAAATTATAGGGTGTAAACTGATTACCACAATACCTAGGAGTGTGCATATGGAATCACTGGCATCTTTAAGTGACCAAGTGCAATTTTAAAGAGAAGATATTTAAAGAGTTTGAGCAATGTATTTTTGTCTTTGGGACCTATGGGTGGAGGACCAGTGTTTTACAAAGCCACTACAACTTGATTATAAATACTTCCATCTGACTGTGCTTCTTAGGGGCAGTCATTTTGTAGAACTGTTCATTTATAGAAATAAACATTTTATAGTCACAGATTTATCAGAAAACAGGTCGTTTAAATCTGGCATCCAGAATCGACAACATCTAGAATGAAGAGTTGCTACTCTCCATATAATCCAATACTTTTACAACTCACATTTGGTCTGATTGTAGAATCCCTAGGGAAGAAAAGTTTTCTTTTCAACTCTTGTCAATCTTTTTTCACTATTCCTCCCCCTCTCCAAAGAATTAGATTGTGTTGCAATTTGCACCAGGAAACCGTGCTTTGGCCCAGAACTGCCAGTCTCTGCCTTTTCAGACAGAAGGCAATTGGTGGGTACAAGCCTCAAGTTATCTTAAGAAATTGAGATCCCCCTATGAGCCCCCATTTCTGCTGATCTCACACTTTCCCATGAACAGGGGCTTCCTTTAAATGTCAGTGAGGTCAGTTTATCCTATAAATCAAGGGGAAACTCTCCAACTAAAGCTCCAACCAGCTCCATATAAGACAAAACTGAGCTTTTAAAAGGATCTTGTAAACTCACAGTCAGAAAACAAGAAGATGTTTAATTACTTGAAAAGATAATTGTGCCAATGTGGTGGCAACCCAGAAAGGCAGGAAATAATTAAAGGCACTATCCCTCCCCCCTTTTCCATTTATTTTTTCCTCTGCACTTTTTAAAACTTTTGCTGGAGAAATTAAGAAAGTAGGCTCTTTATATCTGCATTATTTCTGCGTCCAGGAATTTAGATCTGATTTTCTTTTCTCCTCTAGAAAGAAGTTAACACCGGTTTGTTTGTTTTGTGTTGTGTTGTTATAATACACAGTGAAAGAAAACAAACTCAGGTCTCCTGCAGTAGCCAGACTGAGCAGAAGGGTTCGGAGAATCGTTCTTAACAAGCAGAAAAGACGCTCATGACACAGCAAGGTCAAGGGTGAGAAAGGAAAGGAACAATGGGGTAACACCACTGAAAATGTGCAACGACTAGATGTCTACTCGCATTCCCGGGGACAGGGAGACCCTAAAGGGAAGCGGCAGGCGGAATGGGAAAGAAGAGAGGACAACATGAAATCGTCATGCATTTGACTCCCTCAAAGAGGTGGTTAGTACCACTTCCTAAGATACGTATAGTGAAGTCTGTTATAGTAAAGGGGGAAGAGGGAGGGGAAAGAGAGGGAGAAATAAAGCAGAAAATTAGTCCCAGAATGAGCAACGGGAATTAGTCCCAGTAACATGCAAGTTACTAGTAGTAACTTCGGGACCTCCGTTTCCGAGGAAAATGAAGTGAAGCATAAGAATGAAACCAATTAGGTGACATTTGAACTTCCTGCCTGAGCAAATTTGACCTGATTGCCAGAATCCAAAAAGAATACTGCAATTTCCATAGGGTGCCCGACTCCTCACGGCCGCGTCTGATGCCCAAACTAGTTGCCCGCAGCGGTGTCTGCAGCCGGCAGCCCCACGCCGCCTGGGCCTCCCGGGCTGCTCCCCAAGTCCGGCTGGGGCCGCGCTCTCCAAGTGAGCAAGCCGGTCTGAGGCTGCTGCGGCGCGAGAGGCGGGGGAGGGTGGAAAATGCGAACCATGTGTTGGGGATGGGGGGATGTTATGGGTCTGGTAGTTTGAGATGAGGCAGGAGACTGTGTGTGGCAAGAAAACGGAGGGCATAAATTTCAAGTTAATGAGATCAGGACACTCCCTGGAAGGACTCCTTAGTTTCCAAAGGACAAAGCCTCAGGTGGTAGGATAGATTCGAGAACCGGAGACCAAAAAGACCCCAGCGCGGGTGTGGAGGGGGCTCTGGACGTCCACACGTCCCTCCCTGAGCCCTTACCTTGATCGGTGATGGAGCGAATGCCCAGGATGTCGGTGACGGAGTGGGAGGAGGGCCAGGTGCGGGGCATGGCAACAGAGCCGGGGATGGCTGGCACCCCGGGCGGCGTGGGCACCTTAGCCGCGGCAGCCGTGATGGGGCTGGGGTATGAGTAGATGTGGTTATAGGGCAGCGCCGGTTGCGGCGCCGGCTGGTGCTGCTTGTAAGAGTCGTAATGGCCCTGTTGGGCCAAGTTGCCGATTTTGTTGCGTAGGATGCGACTGATAGAGCTCACCGAGGGCACATTGTACTTGTCACATACGCCGTCCGCCAGCAGGCGGTCCCGGATCTCCCAGGCAAAGATGCCGGGGTCCCTCTGCTTGTAGGTCCGGATGTGCTTCACCACGGTGGGAGTAGTGACCCGGGGCTTGCTGCCCCCGATGGCTCCTGGCAAGATCGAGCCTGTCTCGTTGTAGCGCGCTAGAATCTTGCTGACGCAGCCGTGCGAGACCCGTAGCTGGCGGCTGATGTCACACGGTCTGATGCCCAGTTGGGCCAGTTCCACGATGCGAAGCCGGATGGCGTTGGGCAGCGGCCTCCCGTTCACGAATACTCCTCCCAGCTGGTTCACCTCCCCAAAGGCTGGCTCTGCAAAGGGGACAGGGCGCGCGGGAACGCGCACCCGCAGTTTGGAACAGTAGCTTGACACTCGGCCTCTGCGAGCGTCAGGGGAAGGTTGGATACAAAACTACCCAGGACTAAGGACCCAGCTTTCCCCAACCATAAGATCGCTAGCCTTGCCGAACCGCTAAAACTACCGCTGTCGAATCCGAGCCCCTTCTCTTATTACGGTGCTGCCTGAGGCCGCTACAAACAAATAAAATGGTAAAAGGGAGGGCTGCTCCGAGAGTTCAAATGTGTCCGAAACAGGCTAGGAAATCCGGCATGACGCCTGCAAGCGGCTCCTTCTCGCCAGCTCCGCGCCAAAGTTCTTGGGCTCTTCCCCCTTGATCCCCAGAGCCCCGCGTGGGGACTTGCGCAATTAGACAAGTTCTAAGGGAAACTGTAGGGTATTTTTCTGTTTCGGTTGTGTGTATGCGTGTAGATGAAACAAAACTTGGCCCGCCACTGGGACTGCAGGGCTTGCTTGATGCTACCTCTCCCTTCTCTTAAAATCAGAAAATGGCATCGCCAGCAGCCCAATAGCCGGTGTTTCAGACTGAACTGCTGTATGCCGATGACCCTTAGCGTGTTCCTACAACTTGTATGAACGCGAGCAAAGTCAATAAGGAGAGTATGAGCGCTCAGTGGTGCGCGCCCTTGCTCTCCCTCCCTCCCTCGCTCGCTCGCTCGCTCCCTCCCTCCCTTCCCGGCTCTGACAGCGTCCCCCGCCGCCACTCACCCATTGCTCCGAGCGGTACACCAACCGGGCCCCAGTTCCGCACTCCCAGAAAGAAACTTTTCGCACCGCTTCAGTGGCCAGGCCTGTCGCTGCCCCGAGTCGCCGGTGCCTCGGCTTCTCCCCGGGAGGAGGCGGCGAGAGTGCAAAAGTAAGGAGTAAAAGGAAGTCTGTGCCCTGATGAAAGAGGCTTGAGTTCTGCATTTCAATCTAAGCAGCAACGTGGGCTGGCCTGAGCTGGGCCGGGCGGCTCCGTCTATCACTCACTAGGGACACGCCCCCAAAGAGGAGGGTCCGAGGGCAAGCTGCGTAGTGATTGGTGCTTCAGGCTGAGCGACAACGCAGTCCGGGAAAGTCCTTCCGCTGTCTCTTTCAAGATTGATCCGCACCTGGGTGACTAAATACAGTGAAAATGGGTGTTTGACACCTTCCCAGAGGCAGCGCAAACAGACAGTAGAATCAGGCTGATAAAAATGCTGAATAAGCAAACGGACGCCTTTGGTCGGAATATGAGGGACTCGAAGGGGGAAAGGGCTAAAAAGACCTGTTTGCGATAGAAAGACGTCTCAGAATTAAAGTTAAAACTAGGCAGAAAGTGGGCGCCACCGACAATGGGGTGTGGGAGTGCTACAACCATTCCTGTCACACAGGCCTCCAGGGGCTGTCAGAGGAACGCTGTTTCGGGCCGATCTTACCTCACTCCACCCTCCTTCAGATGACAAGAGCACAGCGCAGGTATGAGAAGGTAGGCCTGCCCGAGAGGCAAGGAGGTTTAGGGAAGACCGAGCCATAGGTGGAGGCCCCTGTTACTCCAGATGTAGATTCTTCCCCTGCCCCGCGACTAGCTTCCCACAGCAGTTTCTTGTGTGTTCATTTAGGAGCGTGGAGCCAAACGTTAGACACGCATGCTCCAGGTAGTGACTGCGCGGTGTGCAAAGAACATAATCACACGCGGCTAATGCGAGTGCAAAGCCAGCGTCGACTGATTGCCTGTGCGTGGGGCACCGCTCAGCCACGGTGCAGGTCTGCCGGTCCTCCGTGCTAATGTTTGCCGGTTTCCCCTTACCAGTGAACCACTGCAAAGGGGTTTTGTTTAAATATGAAAGACTTGGTCCCAAGGTGAACGCCGATACAAGTAATACCCGCATCTTTCGTTTAGTTATCAAAGGCCTTGCGTTTCAGCCTGCTTCTGATTTTTCACTTTCGTTCACTCTTATCTGTAATTTAAAATATACAATACTTTTCTTGGCGGCCAGTTATTCACATTTTGAGTGTGGGTTAGTGGAAAATGCTAATCAAAATAAAAAACAAGATAGATAGGGAACATTTTTAATGAATTTGGGAGTTTGTACTGTTTCAGGTCAATGACACCGCTACTGCTATTTTACAGTCGTAACGCTCTTTCTTGTGCATACAGGATTCAGACTGATTCTCCCACAGTCCTGAAGGAAGTGTGTGGTTCCGTCTACACACAGGGAAGATGACTGGGTCAGTAAGTGACAAGAACCCAAGAAAAACTAATCATCAGCTGTGCAATTTCCAGATCCTCACGCTTCTCTTGTGGGGGCACACTCTAAACTCAAATTACAGGTATGAAGGATTTGAAAGATAAAGGAAAGATTACTGCAAACACCTTTAATTATTTACAATTGGGTTCTTGTGAAAATTCTCGTAACCAGAAATCTTTGAACTTGTCTTTTTGGTTTGTTTCAATTGCTTAAAATCTCGAAGTTTGACTTGATAGTGATTTCACCCTGGTCTGACCCCTAATACCAGTTATGTTGCACCTCCTGGCGCTTTACAAAGCGGAGGTCCTTTAGAAATCCAAGACTTTAAAAGCAGCAGCTCCTTCTTGGAGCTGGGGTGCATATTGAGACTGCTATCTGAGGGGAGCTCACGACTTTGCCTTAGGCTAGTGCGGAAGAATGAGCATGCTGAGCATTTTCATCAAGAATTCCAGCCTCTCCCCCAAAAGACACCGTGAGCAGCGACCTCTGCGCGAATTCTGCTGGACTGCTTACAGCGAGTGCTTCTCAGACCCTGCCGGCTGCGATGTCGGTAAAAGGCTGTTCCGCCTTGGGGCTGGCTAGACCCGATGTCCCTATGTGTTCTATGCGCTCTGTGAGAACTTTAACTGTTCTACAGCACCAGCCCGATGTGATTCAGAGACTCGTAATGTTTAAAGTTCTGACAAGGTGGACATAACATACAACTCCCTCTCTTTCGCTCCCAGCTCCTTCCTCTGACTCCTATCTCCCACGGTTTCAGAGGTCCGCTGCTAGCTCTCCATTTCCACCTGCTGAACTTGGCCTTTGCGGTGCATCCCCCGCTGAGCTTCCCTAGGATCCCAGCAGGCCCTCAATCACGCCGGTGTGCGCGGATGTTCTGCTCTCTCATCTCACCGCGTTCCCAAGAGCAAACGAAGAATCTTCGGTGTTTTGGGACAGTAAGTATGCACGGAAATCTGAGGCCGAGGCTCCCCGGGCAAGAGTGAAGCTTTAGGGCACAGATAGAGGCACAGAATCCTAGAGGAAGGGGCTGGTGCTGAACTCCCCGGGAACTCACACTGAGTGCTGTGACCAGGTAGCCGGGGACCTGATGAGCCCCAGCGAGAGGCAGTGACCTGAAGGCGGGAATGACGGAAATGGGGAAGGGTGGTGGGGTGGAAATGAAGGGCCAATAAGCCTCGACGGTGGGTGTAGGGGGGATGCAGGACTTGGAGAAAGAATAAGGGTCAGCTGGGGTCAGCGCCCCCTGGTTACTGCCGACTCTAGATCTGGGAGATCACCCAGAGATCGGAAAAATTTCGACTACAAGAAATTTAAGACCAAAACCAAAACACAACCAACCATTAAGGCCTGCAGCTGACACAGGCCGGGGAGAAGCCGAAAACCCTTCACAGGGCGCTGTCAAGGCCTCCTCTGAGGGGCGACCCGTTCTCTGGGTAAATATTTACTCAGTGGGAGACTGGAAGCTGGCCGGGAGGGACGGTGTGAAGGAGGGGGCTACACGGGGTGGAGAGAATCCGTTCGCTCAGCACTGGCGGGGACAAACAGGTACACCGGCCGAGGGGTGCCAGAGCCGGAGACTCTAGAGGCGGCTCGGTTCGGCCACGCGCCTCGCGAAACTTTAGCCCGCAGCGCGTCTCTTTGCCTGGACTCTTGCCCTGCCCCTGCGGGCCCAAGCCAGATGCTGCTGTACAGTCTTCATAAATCTGTCAGCCGTCCCAGCGCCGCTGGCGGTCACCTGTGGCGCCCTCCTCACGGCTCTGTAGTGCGATCTGAGGAGAGAGGCCGAGGAGGAACTGCAGTCCTGCGCTTTCCGAGGCCGCCTTCGAGCGGCCTGGAGACCGTGCCCGGGGTCTGCAGAGGTCGGACTCCAGTGCTACAGGCCACGCAGGGAGCGGTGAGCCGCCCTCTAGCTCTCCAACCCTGACCGACGCCCCTAGCTGCTCCGTGGAATGCCTGCTTCCCGGGATCTGCAGATCTGCGGCGACTGCAGATGCCGGGATAAAGCGAGAGAGGGAGCGTGTGCAAGCGTGGGAGAGGGGTTCTGCTGTTCTCATTTGCTTTTGTGAGGAGCAGTTTGCAGAGGAGACTAGTAAGGAGTAGATTCTTCCAGCTTGCCCCCCTGCCGAGAACAGACAGCATCTCTGGTGAGGCCCAGGCGACGATGGCCGCCTTTCGCTCTATTCGGGCAGTCCAGGAATGGAGAGCAGCTAGGAGCCTGAGCTCCGGAACGGATTTCCAGAGCACAGTGACTTCTTCTAGCCATCTGAGGGGTAAAATGATAGGGGTAGGATCTCGTATTCGGTTTCCCCACCAGAGCACCTCTTTCGGGGCAAGCGAAGGATGGCGCGCGGCGTAGAGAGAAAAAGGGGCCGGACTTCTCCAGTCATCGCCAGACTGCGCTGCCAACGCCGGGGCTGAGGGTTCCAACCCCGATCGGCGCATTGCTTTGTCCGGGTCTCTAAGTCCCGGCCCCGCAGGGTCAGCCGCAGCTCCCACGCCCACTCGACCTTCCTGCGACTGCTGCGGCACGTGGCAGCCGGAAGCGCACCCCGTGCCCAAGGCGAGGGAGGGTCCACCCGGAGCTGCGGGCCTGGACGGACGTGCCAGTGGGGCCGCGGGCGGGGTCGGGGGCGGCGGCTAGAGGAAAGAGCCCTAGGCTGAGGGCGGGACAGCGGAGGCCCTCAGTCCCAGCCAGGCCCCGGGGGTAGGAGGAGGAGCTCCCACACACTGACCTGCAGGCCTACACTTAGCCTGGCTGCGGAAGCCACGAGACGCACCAACCCAAGTAGAGGCCGCAGGGGCCCGCAGGAGGAGCCCGGAAGCTTCTTCCAGAGTTGCCAGGACTTCCCCGCGGCCTCTCCGCCTTTCCGCCGACGCTGCTCCCAATTCCAGACCGTTTCCCCAGAGGGCAGCCGGCGGCGGGGAGTGGGGGAAGGAAGGTGGAGGGTGGGCCGAGTGCGGAAATCTCCCTGCAAGCGGTGGGATCGCCCCCCAGGGTTGCGAGCGCTCCTCGTCCGCTTTCTCCAAGCGAGGGCAGGGAGGGGCCTGTTGCCTCCAGAAACCCGCTTTTAATTCTTCGCCTGTCTGTTTCCGATCACCCGGGGTTGGTTTTTCTGTTTGCTCACTCCTTCTGTTACAATAAAAACAATCGACATTTCTTTCCAGTTTCCCCATATTAGCGTCATTCGGTAATTGTTCTCCACCCGCTCCCCCCAGCGTTGAAAGAGAACGGGATTGCTGGTACCATCGCGTTGGAAGTCTTCCGAGTATATAAGCAAATCTTCCCTAAAGACTTTAAAGTAAAAATAAATAACGGCCCGGGAAATTGCCATGACCCTAACATCACTTTCTGAATGCAAATTACACCCATTTTTCAGTTTTCAACAACGGAATTGCTTTCAGAAGGAAGGAGCGGAACCCCATGTGATATGATTACATTTGTTTATTAAATCCTCAAATGAAAGAGAACACATTTTTTTGCAAGGGGAAAAATTTATGGCTGTGGTGCGACAAGTATTATTAAAGATTGGATCTCTTCTCGGAGTAGGGCCAGAAAGGATCGCGGCGAGGAGGCTTGGCTGAGCTTCTAGCCAGAGGAACGGGGACTTCCTGGGTCAAGCATCTGTAGAAGCCGCACTGCTCGGTGACGAGAGGAGGACACCGTCTGCGGTCACTCTACCTACAGCTTGAGCTGCGGCGGCCAAGAGAATTGCAGCTGCGTGTGGGAAAAGCAGGATTTCTGGGTTCTTACAGACCCTGAAGGGTCCGTGCGAGGGCAGTGGGCTACCTCCTTAAGAAGACAGTTGGCCAGAGGTTGTCTGGAAAAGACAAACGCAAACCAGGCGGTGCCTCTAAACCTTGATTTTTCAGGCAAATGCAGAGCTCGTCGGGCCCCCACCGTGGTGCAGGTTATGTGAAATGCTGCTTTATTGCTAGGCTGGTGCAGCCTGCAGGCTTCGAGGAGGCAGAATCAACCTGTGGGCCAGAGTCCTGGTGGGAAGCTCGGGCATTCCTCCCATTTTAGTGATGTAGAGTGGCAGGGGCTCGCTCACATAGCGGTGCCCTCGGACTGCTGGTGGCACGGTGCCCTGGCGAATCGCCCCAGATCCGCGCCAGCCCGCGAATACTCTCACCCCGGCAATGCTCGGAGTGAGGGGGCTGCTCGGCTCAAATGAGGTCAAGGCACAAAATTTCCAACCTGTCTCTTTTTTCCTACTAATTCCACCAACAATCAGCTCTGCTCTGCCCGCAAAAGAGGAGACTCATGCTGCACTATTCTCTCTATCCGTCCAAGAACAGGAACCGGTAGCTGGGAGCAGTGAGTCGGGGTCAGACTCATGAAAAATTTCCCGCGGTCTTAAAGTCTTTGCTACCTCTTTCGCGGCCAGGTCACCCTGTCATAGCGCCATCTACAGGTGCCACATTTGGTCGCGGTCCCGAGGTCCCAATTTTTGCCAAAGTTGGGAAAGGTCTTTGAACATCCACAGAACTTTTATTTCCCCTTATCATTTCCCCTCCACCCTCAACTCTCCACTGAGCTCCCAGTTCCCGTACCTTTCTCCACCATGCTTCAAGCAAACCCCAACATCACTCTTCACGATTCGCCGAAAACCCATCCTCCACGCACTGCCTGGCTGGATCCTTTCGCGATCCCCAGGCGCTCCTCAAGGACTAGGCAATAAACTGTCCCTGAGCTGGTGCGGGAAAGCCTGAAACCACAAAGAGGCTCCGCGGGGAAGGGGAATGATGGGCCACCCTTTTCCAGCTCACCCTACCATTTCCTGAGAGCTCACACGTCCGAGCGCTCACAATGACCATATAAAGGTGGTATTATTATCTTTCCAGTTTCACAACAGATAAAACAGACATATTAAATAAGAGCACACAACACACATTAAAGATCACACGGTGAATTAAATAGACTGGGGTGATAACCCCACCGTGCCCCCAGCCCCCCAGTGCTGTTTTCTTCCTATTTCCCTGTTCTGCAGGAACGACTGTAGCTGAAGCACTAAATGAAGGCCCCTTACCGCAGGTGCCTGCGCGGAGAGGGGACATCCCCGCCCCCATCACTTCGGGGATTAACCCCTCCCCCCCCACCAAGGCCGCTGAGAACTGAGGCCAAGAGCTCCTGCACTCTACTCCTCCTCTGGGCCACACTCCAAGCGGGGGAGGTCCGCTGACAGGCGAGGGTTCCAGCTGCTAGCCCTGTACCTTCCTGGCCCAGGCTATCCCGGGGCGCGGGTGGCAGCGACTGGTGGGGGGAGGGGGTCCGCAGCGTCTCCCCGGAGTGCACCGCAGCCAAACTGCAAAGAGAAAATCGCGGCGAGGACTGGAAGGAAGAGTCGGGAATGACCTGCTTTTCGCTGGGATTTGTTGCCGGATGCTGAGACGTGCCCATCTGGCTCCCTGTGCACTCTCAGAGTATTAACCGACAGGCAGAGAACCCACCTTTGTTTTCCTTGGGGATTCATTCTAGTGTGTGCCTGTGGGTGTTTCTTTTTAAGACCACTATAGTGGGGACAAACCAGAGGAGCTGTGCTGCAATAAAATTAGAACCCGTAATTAACACAGCAAGCAGGGCCCAAGAAGCTCCGAAATACACGTGGTACCTAACCACTCTCCCTCCCTGGAGTTGCGAATACAGTTACGTTTTCCTCGCTCTGGAGTTCTTCTTAGAGTCTGGCTCAACTCTTTTCGTTACCTGGATATAGAGGAGAAATGAACCATCTCATTTAAAAAACTATAATTATAAGGGAATTTCAGCGCACCCTTCGAAAGGTGGTAGCCAGGAGAAGGGAAACCCCCGAGGTTGTTACAAGGGCAGTGGTCACT